CAAGCAGCTGAACGGACAGTAAATTAGGTGACCCAGGAGGGGTCCCGCAATGGTCGTAAGTGTGAAAAATGGCCACAGAATCACTTTTTTCAATGCTGATGTAACTTCGAGTGGTCAGTAAGCGAAGTGCTGTAAGTCAAGGACTGCTTGTATTGCCCCCAGCGATCTGGGTCCTCATTTATTCACCTCCCCTTACAGCACGGGCCCACAAATAGTTGCAAACCGACTTAACTTTCCATTAAATGACTTTAAGGGTTAAATCTATAGGGATGGAATCGCAGCTCGAATGCGTCTTTCTGCCGAAGCCGCATCAGCCATCTGTTAATCGATATCGGCAGAAGAAAATTTATATTTTTCTGATATATATATATATATATATTTCTCCAGAAGCTTTTTTTTTTTTTTAACAAATTGTAACCAAAACGTTAGCAGGCTGTAACCTTTAAAAGTCGGTAAAACTTCCCAAGAATGCAAAACAGTCGTAGCAGCTTAAAAGGTTCAGAGCTGCTCCTATCGATTGCAAGTTTCTGAGAAACTTGACAATTTATCGGAGTTGTGTGCTGCACAGCGGGGGTGTGGGTGTGGGTTGTGTGTGTTTTTCCTGGAGAGTAATGTCAGAAGAAGAGTCTGTTGCAAACAGATGTTGACTGCTGAGTTTGTTCGGTTAGAATGCTCTTCTTACTAATCTAGGCATTCAGGCTGGGTGGAGTTTTCCACTCCATTTCTGAAAAGCGGCTGCAGAGGGAGAGAAAAAACCACCGACAATCCCGCAAGAAGGATGTGGCGGCTTTAATGAGTCAACAAGAGAAGCAGCATTGGGGCTCGTAGGAAACACCCAAGAATGAAAGGGGAATATTTGTAGCTCACGGTTGAACGGTGGGGGTCTTCGGCGCTCTCTGAGCTCGGTGGTTTTCTTGCAGTCGTTTCATGACCCAACTAGGTCACGTCATCAGGGCTAGGTAAGGAGTGGGCTGGTAAGGAGGATAAAGAGTGCTTACTAGCCCCGATGAGGTGACCTAGTTCTAGTCTCGCTTTAGGCATTCAAGTCGGCAGGGTGACTTTGGACCGAGGGAGAGGAGACGGTGAATTCTAGTCCAGCTTTAGGCATGAAAGCCAGCTGGGTGACTTTGAGCCAATCACCAGGGGACGGTGAGTTCTAGTTCTGCCTTAGGCAGGAAATCCATCTGGGTGATTTGGTGCCAGTCACTCTTCCTCAGTCCAGCCCACCTTACAGGGTTGTTGTTGGGAAAATAGGAGGCAGAAGAAGCATTAGGTAGGTTCCTTGCCTTGAGTTATTTATAAAAATACTAAAGGCGGGTGACAAATAAATAGAAGAACAAATGTGATAGTAGTAAAAACACCCCCACCAATCCACCTGTCCTTCCATCTCCTTCCTATCCTGGTCTTAAGCTTCAGCCATATTCTCCTCCAGCACCTCTAGGTCCCCTGACCCACGTGAGGCCGGACACAAGTGCTCCGGAGAGATTTAAAAAATGCCTCCGGCCCCAGAGTCCAGCCTCCACCGCTCCAAAGATGCTATTAGTCCATTTGCAATTCTATTAAGACAAAAGGACTCTGCTTTCCAGACGAATGATTCTGTTCCTGGGAAACTGCTGATGCAGCCGGAGCTGCCAGCCAGACAATTTCGTAAGACATAATTCAGAGACATATTTGCCCATCCAAAATAAATAAAAGCTTCCGTAGGAACGCTTGCCGAGGGCTGAACGAGAGCCTGAAGAGGGATGGAACTGTAAACGGTCCACCAAGCCATATAGTAGCCCTTGATTTACAGTGATCCACTTAGCCATTGTTTGAAGTTGTAACAGCACTGAAAAAAGTGGTTTAAGACTGGTTCTCGCACTTACGACCGTCAGAGGATCCGCACGGCACACGATGAAAATCCAGGTACAGCAACCAGCATGTGTTTACAATGGTTGCCGTGTCCAGGGGTCATGTGATCATTGTGGGCGACCTACCCAGACAACGCCTGATGAGCAAAGTCAATTTGGAGAAGCGGGATTCGCTTCACAGTGTGATTCACACAACCACTGCAATGATTTGCACAACAACTGCGGCAAAACAGGTCATAACGCCGAGGCTTCGTTAAAACTGGCTTGCTCACCAATGGAAATTCTGGTGCCGATGGTGGTTGAGAACTACTGATCACATCCTTGTGGAGTTCGGTAAATTCTCACCGTCATTTTGAAAAGTGAGATTATAAAAGCCCAGTCTAGCACAATACCAATGAAGAAGAAGAAGAAGAAAAACAGCTCTCAAAAGAAGCCGGCATGGCTGCATCAAGAACTCTCTGACAAATTGAAAGACGAAAAGACCAGTATAAAAAGTGGAAAGAGGCACACATAACTAAGGCAGAATATCAGCAAACAGCCCTTTTCGAAGCCTGATCTAAGTTAGGGAGGTTCCTTTCTCGGTTTCTTCCTCTGTCTGTTATGCAGCTGAGGGCTCCCCGTGCCCTTATCGGATGGTTCCCGAGGCACAGGCTCTTCCTCCATCAGTTGTTCAGTTAGTCACATGGTTGTTAAGTGAATCTGGCTTCCTGATTGTTTGTCCCGAGGTGGCAAAAGGGGATCACATGACCCCCCTCCCCCGGGATGTGGCGGCCGTTGTCCACTCTTAAGATCGTGATCACGGGATCCGAATTCAGACATTCGGCAACTGAATCCACGGGGATGTTGCGACCGTCGTAAGTGTGAAAAATAACCCCAAGAGCCTTTTTTCTGGTGCCGTCGTAACTTCGAATGGACATTAAAGGAAATGGTTGTAAGTCATTCCTTTAAATCACCCCAACATCAGGTAGCCAACGTAAGCTGATTATATAGACTGACAAGAGAGAGGGAATATGTCCTCCAACTTGTATCATTCTTCAAAAATCAATTCTGGTGGGTTTTTTTTTTTTTTTTTTTGCACTTGATAATTTAACGTCCAAAAAAATTCAGTCTACGAGGGATGGCATGAATAAGCCGCACGAGCAGGATATCAAAAACCTCTCCTTTCATACTGCACGTTATTGGAAAATGATCTCTTCCTTATTAATGCAATTCCCCTTTTGTATAAAATGGGGATCTCTGTCTCAAAAAAGCACACAGTATTTTAATCTTTAATTATATTAACTCTTCCGGGGAGAAGCAGAGGCCTAGGCCCGTGGATTATTCCTTTATTGCATATTATCTCGGCGGTGCTTAATGAATATTGTTAACTTAACGCAGCGTTTGCCAGTTAGGGTCTGTGAGTGAGAGAGAGGAAGAGAGGGAGAGGAAGCGAGGAAAGGCAAAAAATCAGTATCGTAGTAAAGACATTTAGAAGAGTCGAAGTTATTACTTGAAGTTTAGCTTTCTCCCATCTCTCCGGAATAGAAATCTTTACTTTGGCAGATATTATTTCCTACTCCTTTTTTTTTTTTTTTTTTGCTACAGCAAATCACTGTTTGCACCCACGGTTAGAACTGGACAAAATTCCTACAAAGTTGTACGGATAGAGAAAGACAACCAAGGTTGGATACAGGACCGATTCTGTCTATAAATTAAGATCCATCCATCCATCCATTAATCCCTTTTATCTATCTGTAAAATCTATCTTATCATCTCTATTTGTGTCTGTGTCCGTCCATCCATCCATCTGTAGTATATCTCTATCTATGCATCTATCCATCCATCTCTTTTCCTCTGATCTATCATTCTATCACTCTGTATCTCACTCTATCGTTATCTATCTATCCTTCCTTCCATCCATCATCCATCTCTTTTCCTCTGATCTATCATTCTATCGCTCTATCACATCTATCATTATCTATCTATCCATCCATCCTCCATTCATCTCTTTAATCTATCATTCTATCTATCATATCTATCTCACTTTATCATTATCTATCTATCCATCCATCCATCCATCTCTTTTCCTCTAATCTATCATTCTATCTATCACTCTATCATATCTATCTTACTCTATCATTATTTATCTATCTCTATCTACAGTATCTATTTCTTCTATCCTATCATCCATCTATCACTCCATCCATCCATCCATCCATCCATCCATCCATCCATCCATCCATCCATCCATCCATCTTCCATCTGTCTATCCATCCATCCACTCAGAAGAAATTCTCCAGTTTTGTACTGACAGGCTCAGCTGTACTTTGAAAAAAAAAACAAACCAAAACCAAGGAAAAAGAATGCTAACCAGTATAAATTAATCTACTTCAGGTTGATATGACCGTGGAAAAGCTCAGAGAAATTCTTTCTTACGGCCAATGATACATTACAGACATAAAATGAGCATTAGTTGTGAAATTAATTAAGCATGTCAATCTAACGGCTGCACATCTTGCATTTTACATGACTAAATTTGGCTCCACTCAAAGAGAGAGAGAGAGAGAGAGTTATTGGAACCCAAGACTGATGGTTGCATATAAAACTGATCAGAATGACTAGGAAGTTAGATTAAGTGGGAGGCGACCAGCTCAAGGTGGAAAGCGACATAAAACAGAGCACAGAAGAGGATGGATCTATTCTCCACTGAATTTGGTTTTTCTGAATGCTTTCACAATCTGGGGAAGACGCTGTTTCCGACTCTCAACTCTGCAGGCAAAAAAGAGGGGAAGGAGTCACAGCCACCCACTTTGAGGGGTTTTCACAGGGGAGGAAGAGGAGAAAAAGAGAGAAGGAAAGAGCAAAGGGAGGAGGGAAAAATAACCCTCAGCCCGTTTCAAGGGATGACATTGGAAGAGAGCTGAGGGTGTTGAGATTCGATCAGGGCTGATTCCAGGGGAAACCTCCATTTTGCCTTTCCTAAATAAAAGCCTTTACTGGCTATAAAATTGATTAAATAAGCACATTACGAGCAGCAGTGGCGCAGTGGCTGGAGGGCAGGACTGGCTCAAGGTTGACTCAGCACTTCTGACCCACCAAAACCAGGATTCCTTTTGTAAAAACCAGGTTTCATTCAAATGCCTTTCACACGTGCACACGGTGGACACTTACTGAGGCGGTAACACCAGGGTGGTGGGCTGAGCTTTTGGCCTGCGCTTGGCGGAGACCCCCATCTGGTTCGCTGACCTCTTCAAGGACTGCTGATTCAGAAGACCAGAGGCCAGGCCGGTGTGATACTGTAGCTGGAAGTAAGAATAAAAATGACAAGTGCTCATGAGGTTGAGGGACAAAACACTAGGAAAGAGTCGGGGTAGTTTCATCTTATTTTGGGTAACAGAAACACCACTTTGTATTGTGAAGATTGTGCCATAACAGTAGGACAGCTCGTTTGGTCTACTGCTTAAGGCACCAGTGGGAGAGTTCTAGTTCCACTTTAGGCATAAAAGCTGGCGGAGTGACTGTGGGCCAACCACCAGGAGACGGTGAGTTCTAGTCCCATTTTAGCCATGAAAACCAGCAGGAGATTGGGAGCTCTAGTCCTGCTTTAAGCATAAAAGCTGGCTGGGTGACTTTGGGCCAGTCACTACCTCTCAGCACTGCTCACCCACCACGCAGGGTTGTTTTGGAAAAAATAGAAGGAGGAAGAAGGACCAGGTTTGTTTGCCAACTCGAGTTACTTGTAAAAATAATAAAGCATATGGATACAAAAAAATAAATTAAAAAAAGAAATACCGACAACAGAAGAGCGGTTTAGTAAAAGCGATGGAACTAGCAGAGAAGGTAAAATGCTCAACTCCTCTCATTAGAATAACAATTTTTTTAAAAAAACCATTTGCACAATGTAACTCTCAACGGAAGCCTTTGTTGGACTTTTGGTTAAAAAAAAAAAAAAAAGAGGGGTCGGTGGGTGGGATCTGTACCAAATTGTGACATGTGGATTTGAAGATTGGTAAAAAATTACTGACAGTTTGAAAAATGGACACCCTAGTAGAATTCTAAAGTAAGCATTGAATTTAAGCTTCATTTATATCTTTCATAAAAGAAGTTAGAAGCGCTTCTTGGAGGAGTTTTCTTTCTTTCTTTCTTTGTTTCTTGCACTTCTGTGCTCTTTTTCTTTATTCTTTCTCTCTCCCTCCATTCATCTTTCTATTTATGTTCCTTTCTTTGTATTTTTATGTTCTATTAAAAAAAAAAACACCTTAACAAGTTAGATTAAAAAGAATGAGGGATGTTCAAACACCGAGAACCCCCAAAGGGCCTCCGTTTATTTCATTCCATTGCTTCCTTAAGCCAGGATGGGGAGGATTTTGGCCCAGAAGCGGAGTGTCGTTTGATGCCCCCCGAAGCATTTCCCCTATGAAGCCTGGGCTCTGGAAGGAACAGACCCCAATTGGCCATGGGGTATTTTGTGGTCTCTCCGGCCAAAGGTCCTACGCTTTGTTTCTGGGAAGCTGAAGGACTTTCACAACAAGCGTGACGAGCTCTCCGACGTCAGCAAGGGACGGAGAAGATGACAACCAACCATGTGGCCAAATGGAGAGAGGTTTATCATGGGAAGGCTGGCAGTTTTATTTTTAGGAAGGCAGGACTTTTCATCTGGAGACGAGGGACTTCGCAGGGTCTGGTTTACAGAAAA